TCCACAAACTCTGTGACATATCTGTAAGGGAACGAGGGGGGGGGGGGGGGGGGGGGGGAGGGGGGGGCATTTTGGAAGAGGGGTAGGGAGGAGGAGGAGGAGGAAGGGGGCGGGACACGCACGCACACGCGCATAAAGAAAACCACAGGATCAGGCACCCACACACGAGGCCGCCACAAGACAACAAGGAAGGGTCGTGGGTAGGGCGGGGGGGGGGGGGGGGGTGGGGTGAGGAGTCCGGGGGAGGGGGGACGGTAAACAGTCACACACAGAGGACAAATGCCAGCAGGCACAGGCAGCCTTACCTGGGATTACTGAGATAGTTTTCAAAGCTCGCAATACTCTGAATGTGCGCAGAGCGGAAACATTGCCTAGGTTTACAAACTCTGTTATATACCTGCAGGATTAAATGCACAGTTACTGCAGAGCAATGCACAGGCTGCTGCTCAGCCACACACGAGACACATCAGAGCCACCGTTTACAGTACACTTTACAGGATTATCCAACACACAATGTCAGCGTAAACTCTACAATCATGTGATGAAGAGCATGCACTTTAGTGCTGAAGGCTTCTTCTTTAGCTCGTAGGACATGTAGCTGAAGTCGCTGAGGCGCGACGCCTAATGTGGGCCAGATACTTCATGCTTTCAGGGCTCACATCCATTACTACGTAAGACAGTGGTCACAAAAGTATTCACCCCCCCCATTTTTTGTTGCTTTATAACCTGGATTTTATTGGGTATTCAATTGGTTAAAAGTAATGCATTTATATAAAATACTTTGTAATATTTAAAGGTATTTCAACTGTTCCTTCTTCAGAGGTTCCCACAGCGAGTCCTCCTCCACGTCCCCTGTAACTGCATGTATAACGTATTTTCCGGCCTATAAGTCGCACCTTTTTGTCTAATTTGCAAACCCTGCGACTTATACGTCAAAACGACTTATTTATAGATTTTTTTTCTCCATATTTATAAAACAATTTTTGGCTGAGATATGACCGTTTTCCTCCATTCTGACATTGAAACTACTGAACACTACCATTTTCTGCTGCTAGATAGCACTTGAATAGTATGGCATGCCGTTGTGTAATATAATAGGTAAAAGTGGCTATTAATGACACAGTTAGCTTGCCATAGTCCAGGCAAAATGCAGTTAATTTGACAACTGAAGTGCATTTATTAGGTAAAAGTTAGACTGAGACATACCTTTACTATAATTTAGAGCAAACAAATAATTGTTTTTAAGTGTTAATCTTGTTAAATTCTTGTTAAAGTCCTCCTGTGCACAGTCCCGCGGCCGCCAATCGATTTTTGGCACAACACCGGCCCACGTTTCCAGGTTGTCAGCGGTGACGCATAATAGATGTGACTTATACAGCGAAGCGACATATTTATGGATTTTTTCAAATTATTACACTTTTTTGGACTGATGCGACTTATAGGCCTGAAAATACGGTAGTCTCATTCACAAGATGCGTCGGTCCGAGACTGAGATGTGTTCTGGCCACCTTGGTCAATTCAGAAGACTCACAGAGGCAGCAAGGGGAGTTGAAGACATGCCACCTTTGTGCCGTCGAGCAAGATGGTAATATAACTGGGCTGGCTGGCAAGTATTAAATTTTTTTTTTTTTTTAAACTGGTGCTGCGGCTCAGTAATGTGATGAACTGATGACATTAGTATGACCACCCACTCAGGGGATTAAACAAGAAACTGTTTTATTAAAGATAATATCAATTATGCTACTTTGTAGTTAGCTTAAAAAATAGTTAACCTCAAAGAAGATTGCTAAAGTGAGTTAATTCATAACGTGTAGTAACTGACACGTTACATGCTCCAAGTCAGCCCAGCTGAGTCCTGCTCAACGCCTCCTTTGGTTCCGCTCTGAAAACACATCTGAGCAGGAAGCGTCTGACTTCATTAGCGATTTATAAAAGGCTAACGCTTAAAGGCGGACTTGTCTGTGCAGCCATTTGGACTGTTTTATGAAAGAGTCTTATACATCTCCTGTTTGGGTTTGTCTTTTTCCTGGCAGCTGCATTTCTAACATCCTACCAATATACACACTGTCCCTCCTCTGGACATGTCCAAACCATCTCAGTGTGTCCTCTCTAACTTTATCTCCCACTTGTTCAACCTGTGCTGTACCTCTGATGATCTCATTCCTAATCTTATCCATCCTTGTCACTCCGAAGATTAACCTCATCATCTTCGGCTTTGCTACTTCCAGTTCTTTTTGTCCATGTCTCCGTCTCCAGCCCATACAACACAGCTGGTCTCACCACTGTCTTGTAAACTTTTCCTTTGACCTTTGCTGACACCCTTTTGCCACAAATCACTCCTCTAAAACTTTTCTTCATCCACCCCCAAAAACTGTGCAACTAAGCGGTCTGCCGATGTCCACGCCGTCACTGAGGGGATTGAATAGTGAATGTTTGTAGTTTTTGAGATGAGTGTTTTTCAGGACTGGAACTGAACAAGGAATGCAAATAAACCTTAATGTTTCTGGTGCAAGATATTCAAGTGGGTAGGAGTTACACTATGTAGAACTGAAGTAGTTCTTTTTGCTAGTCCGAGGTGGCATAGAGTTGCATTAGGGCCAAAAAAATCAGACCCCAGGCCGTAGCCATCATTTCCAAACCACACCTGACCCGATGAATTAACGGTAATTACAGGTCTGAACCTGGAAAAAACCCAAACATTTTTAATTAAACTTTGACTGCTTATATAGTTATTAACGGTCGGCAGACACGCGCGACTAACGGGGCAGAAGATTGGAGATGAGGGGGTGTTAGTCCTTTCGTGGCCGTCAAAGCTCATTAAATCCCTTTTTCTGCCTGCATTCTGCATTATTCAGACACGGACCCTGCTCTGACATGATTTTGGGATCTCACCTGTTTGGGTCTTCGACCGCGCTCGTCCACTGAGTGCAGAGGCTGAATAAATGTCCATTTGGGCTTTGACGAATCGCTGCCTGGCAGTATAGTCCCATCTGAAGCTTAACTGAACTTTTTTTTTTACCTCTTTCAAGGCTGGTCAGCGCACGGCCAAAAGGCTGTGTGCGGCTGGTGACTGTATGGCAAGCCATGTTGCCATATAATTGGATCGTCAGCCGCATGTGTCTACTGACACAATCAAAAGCCCGACACTGGCCCAGCCAGCACATTATGGCCCAGCCCTAATCCGGATCAGGCGGGGCCGGACTCTGGGTTAGAAATGACAGCTCTAGCACAGAGTGACAGATCCTGACGAGCAGAAGGAGCAATTTTATCCACCACCAGATGTAATGGCAGAGCCAATAATTGGCTAATGGTGGCCTTGGCCTCTAAAGATTCATCTTTGGCCACCCTAACAGCCTAGCAACTAGACAGCATTGTTTCCTCAAAATGATCAAGATAACATATGAATAATTAAATACATGACGGCAGCCATCTTGGATTTTGACATGGCAACATGATTTTTGATAGGGACTTTTGTTACGCCTAGATTCAACCACACACCTAAATGGAAGTTGGTACCTCAATTATTTTTCCAAGTTATCATGCTCCCAAGATAGATGGAAAGGCATACGGACGGTATTCCTAATTCGCCTCTTCGCTCTGTGACGGGGGACAAAAAGTGATGGATGGATACGTAATAGAAGCTTCTAGTGGCTTCACTTTGAGCCCCAATCATTACCTTCAAACGCCACATAATTACTGGCCTCAGCGAAGCATGGTGGCGGCATCATCGCGCTAAAAAGACCTTCTGCTGAAACTGCGACAAAAGGTGGCTCTAACATTTTCACTTTCATAGCTGTGCACAGTTGTTTTGTTTATTTTTGTCTTGTTTGATTACAAAAACAATGTATGTAGCATCTTAGGGAGGTGAATGCGTTTGCAGACCACTGTAGATTTAACAGCCACCCTACAGGCTACACAGTTAAAACCAGTAAGCTGAAAATTACCACGCGCCCCTCTGTTCCTTCTTCTCACATTTAGACGGACTTCATAAACTGAAAGGCTGATTAGCATTACAAGCCTTCGGCTGCTAAATCTGTGCCACATCTCGTTAGGCTGAGCCTAACCACGCTTGTCATAATACTTACGCCATGAGTATGACGCTGAAATCCAGCCAGTTCCACGGGTCCCGCAGGAACGTGAACTTCCCCACACAGAAGCCCCGGGCCAGGATCTTTATAAGAGACTCGAAGGTGTAAATCCCCGTGAATGTGTACCTGGTAAACAAGGTGAGGAAGAGAGGAAATGAAAACACACAGAGAGGAAGATTGGTTCTGATTGCAGAGGCAACGTGACAAAGCCTCTATTCACAGTCTCTCCACACGACCTCCTCATAGTCGTCCAGTCTTTTGATACGATTCCTTCATCTCTAAAACATTAGCTGACATTAGACCTTGTTAATTTTGACAAAGCTATCAGTTTATTTTCATTGCAGCTAGAAACCGTACATTCATCTTAAGGATGACTAAAGTTAAACAGCACGTGAACAATAAAAGCAACACTTGGTGATTTTGTCTCGAGCTTTTTACAACAACAGCGCAGAACGTTAGGAGCTTTAGCTTGTGCCACACGGGGACTTAATAAATATGATCCGTCATATTTGTGTTTGCCATAAAATGTAAAGAAGCGTGCTTTATAAAACTAAAAGAAATGCACTAAGAGTAACGTTATACCTATGTCACGGTGCAGTATGTACCGCTGAACAAAAGGTCACGATTTAGTACGGAAGAAAAATAAAACAAATGGGAAATTTAAAGAAAATAATTACTTTAGTGCCTTTTTAAATCCCATTTGAACTGTAAAAACTAACTCACGGGCCATGAGTCGAACAGAAAGTTTCATCAACTCTCAATACTCTTTATCTTTATGCTTCCATTAGGTTATGAAACATCATGGGATACATTTTCATTGTTATGCTGATGACACACAGTTATATTTGTCCATGAAACACAGTGAATCCAATCAGTTACTTAGACTACAAACATGAATTAAAGACATAAAAACATGGATGACCCTTAATTTTCTGCTTTTGAACAGACAAGACTGAGTATCCTGAAGCATGCTCAATAAGACAAGACTGAGACTGAGACTCAATGAGACAAGACTGAGGTTTTAGTTTGTGGACCTGAGCACCTTAGGAATGAATTTTTCAGTCTTTCTCCCTCCTTAGATGGCATTAATCTGTCCTCCAGCTCTAATGTTAAAAATCTTGGAGTTATTTTTGATCAGGACATGTCTTTTATCCCCCACATTAAAAACATTACTAGAACCGCCTTCTTCCACCTGCGTAATATCACTAAGATTAGAAACATCTTCTCTAAAAACGATGCAGAAAAACTGGTCCATGCATTTGTCACGTCTAGACTGGACTATTGCAATGGTTTATTATCTGGGTGTCCACGTCTTTAAAACGTCTTCAGTTGATCCAAAATGCTGCTGCCAGAGTCTTAACTGGAGTTAGTGGGAGAGATCATATCTCTCCAGTTTTAGCTTCTCTCCATTGGCTCCCTGTCAAATCCAGAATTGAATTCAAAATCTTACTTCTAACCTACAAAGCCCTCAACAACCTAGCTCCATCTTATATTACAGATCTTATTGTTCCATATTTTCCTAACAGAGCACTTCATTCTCAGACTGCAGGTTTACTTGTGGTTCCTAGAGTTTCCAAAAGCAGAATGGGAGGAAGATCTTTCAGTTATCAGGCTCCTCTCTTGTGGAACCGACTTCCAGTTTCTGTCCATGATGTCGACACATTGTCCAGTTTGAAGACTGGGCGCAAGACTTTCATTTTTGATAAATCCTATAATTAGGGTTGTTTTGTCATTCCGTCTTAAGCTGAGACTACTAGAGGACAAATTGACCTCACTTCTTAAAATTGAATAGTTTTCATTTGATACTAGTTCTATTTTAACATGTGATTCTTGAACCTGCCATTGTGTATCTGTTCCTCTCAAACTCAGCCAGTTGAAGCAGATGGCCGCTTGTCCCGAGCCTGGTTCTGCTAAAGGTTTCTTCCTCATAAGAGTGTTTTTCTTTCCACTGTCTCCTTCATGCTTGCTCAAGATGAGAGTTCTGTGATGGAGTTAAACTCAAATCCGTCTGCTCCTCAGATAAATAATGTTAAATTATTATTTTATATATGAATGTTTCTGTTCAGTGCCCTGAGACGACTTCTGTTGCGACTTGGTGCCATATACACAAACTGAACTGAATTGAACTCCAGAAAGATGTCCTTCTCAAAAGCCTCGGCGAGCTGTGAGGAAATGAAGCTTGACGTCCGGGATGTTGAATTAAAATACTGATGATTTTCCACTGGCCTAGTTTTAAAAATGTCACTTAAATGGTACGACTCTGATCAGCAGCACCAGACTTTTTTTTTTTTACTTCTGCATTTTCTGAACCGGACAAGTGTTTTATTTTAACGTACCGTGTTTAAACCATCGTTCTCTCCTTTTCTGTCCAACTGTTCACACAATGTTTGTCTTCACTGTCCGTGTCCAAAGCTTCTGCACTGAGCGCCACCCTTACATACATGTACCGTTTCCCCCCCAACACCTAGCTTGGTTCCTTGTAAAAACATAGCTAATCTACGTCCTAATTATTACATTGATGCTTTCAGATTTGACTGATGTGATAGTGAGATGAGAAAATGGACATTGTTGGTACTTACTCTACATTCTTGGCCCATTCCGGGGGGTTACTCAGGGTCATAAAAGCACAGTTGGTCAAGATGGTGAACATGATCAACATGCTGAACATCGTAAGAACAAAGTTAAGGTATAAAACAGTAAAAAAATAAATAATATATATATATATATATATTAAACAGCCCAACCATAAAACAGTTTAAATTAAAATTTCATCATCAAGTTCAGTTCAATCTGTGTTTCAGCGCTGAACTAAAAAAAAAAAGACAAATTAAGTCTTTAACAGACGCTGGTGTAATTCCTTCTTTACTCTGATAAATTCTTTAATCCAAAGGATATGAGTGCACTAAAACTTTAATAGCTAATCTTCTTAGAGGGTTGAAGGGGTTCAGGATGTACAAGGCAGAAGTGGCATTGAAACGGAAGATTGCCTTCCCACGATTCAATACTATGAAGGTCTGAAAAACAGAAGGGAAGTGTTAAAAGAGGACAAAACACCGATGCTCCCCAGAGACAAACAACAGTAAAGTAACATTTCAGTGCACTATAGTTTATGAGTGACAAACCATACGAGCAGAGGACTGAGTTAGACTGACGAAGTCGTATTTTTGAATTAAAAATGTTGGTTGAGTCCTGGTTTGATACATGAGTTCAGCAAGATCCATTTCTGAACAAGAAACCCAGTTTTAATTTCAGTTTCTTTATCAAGTTTTTGATATGTGGTTATGCGCATCAAGTATTGTATAAGTATCTGTAAGAACCCACAAACTCAATAGCAACACCATTCGTAGATAAGACAGACGGAAGGACTGTTGGTACCAACTTCCTGTTTGAAAACAACTCCCTTAGGTCTTATCAGCATTTAGCACCAGTTTGAGACGAAACATCTGACTGGATGATGTCGAATGCAGACTGTAAAAGCTGGAACACGTAAGCAACTGATTTAGTTCGACAATAAACTACTGTTTCGTCTGCATATAACTGCAAGGATCTATCAGGAATGTTCTGACCTATGTCACTTCTGTAGATTGTAAATAGGGTGGGTCTCAAGACTGAGCCTTGTGGTACACCATTGTTGGTTGTTATATAACTAGAAGTACCAAGTATCCTTAGCAAGTATGCTGGCTAAGATATAGGCTAAGCTAACGAGTTCAAGAACAGAAGGTTTTGTGTTTAACAGTAGTGTGAAGCTAACTTAAAGGTATACAGTATCACTGTTTGCCCTACCAATATCCAGGGAGGGCGTTCCACCCTTTCAACAGAACCGAGCGCTTTGCCTACAAAATCCCCTCTCGAACAAGGAGCAGAGATTTTAGCAACAGAATAAGCAGTTCAGACCTATAAATATTATAATGCTTTGCTAAACCCCGCCCCTCCACCCCCACCCCCAGCATGCCAAGTAATCTAGGGGAAACGGTGTATATGATACAAGTGAATTTTACTTTCACATGTTTAATGTTCCCTTTCATCCTTAACAAGGTAATTATGAGCAAATAACAGAAGCATTGATACAAATGTGGGAGTTGCAGTATTTCAAACACAAGCTTTAACTTAAAGAAAAATCGCTTTTTGTAGCTTTTCTTAGGGAAATAAATAGTCCTCGTTGGGTTTAAATACGTGTAAGATAACAAGAGCATACCCAAGGTAGATAGTGATGGTCAGTTTAATCAAAGTCATCAAAACCTTTCAAACGCTCCTTGATGAACTCCCTATTAGCGAACAACATACTGTTTGTTTCTGTCGTTTCATTTTTCTTTGTTATGATTATTTTGTGAGATATCCCAAAGCTAGTCTTTGCTTGGATATGTAAATATAAGGGTGTGCTAATATTGCATGACATTGTCATGAGAACACATCCTCAGGGGTAATGATCCATGTTCTTCCATACTTCTTTCATAAATATTAGAAACTGTGGAGAACAGACCTTCTGATTGCTGTAGTAGGTGTCAAGGTCTTCCAGAGGGGTCGACACCAGGTGAGGAGGGGTGTCTCCGTAGATGAAGGGCAGAGACTTCCCCGCCTCCAAGTCGCTGTTGGGCCTGGGCCCATTTTCATCGTCTTCGTCGCTGCGGCGCTCCGCCCGCGGTCTCCGGGCCTTCTCCTCGGCGATGCGCCTCTCGATGGCGGCCAGCGACTCGGGGAGGAAGGGGCGGAAGCTGTCTGGTCCGGGCGGTACAAGCAGCTGTGCCATCTTGTCATCCTGCTCCTTCAGAGGGCAGCGAGAGGCTCAGCTGGGGCAGAGAGCTGCAGCAGAAAAGAAAGACGGAGACAACGAGGTGTCAGAGCCTGTAAATAATTCATACATTTCTAGGTCAACCCATCAAATGCATCTCAACCAAATCATTGTAGGAACTAATGGTTGGCCCCTATTTCCAAGAATGTTCCTCTCCTCTTTGAAGCTTTACTATTGCACCCTTTGGAAGAGAGTACTTGAACATATTGAAAGATTTCTATTGTGTATTAAAACTATGACTACATAATGAGAAGTCAACTATTTTTACTTTTTCCATCTAATTTCCTAGTTTTTTCAAGGCACGTCTCATACATAACAGCTCTCTCTCCATCCCTACAAGGAAACCCTACAGTTGACGACAGCATTAGGTTTCGAATTAAACAAGAATTCAGTGATTAAAGAAAGATTTTATATAAATTGTGATAAAACTATGAAATACCACAATATAAATTTTTATTCATATAGCCAAGCCTTAGTTCCACCTGCTTCCCTCATGTTCACACAAATGTATTCCTTTATGCTTCTACTGACTTTCATGCCTCTACCTCTCCAGGCTCTCTTCCACCTGCTCCCTACAAACTGCAATGTCATCTACAAACATCCTTGTCTATTATTCATCCAACCTTTATCTATACAGGTTAATCCCACTGAGCCTCGGGGACTCGAGACCTGATTTTAACAAAGAGTGATGACTACAGTGGACTATTAGGACTCCCTCCTCACCTCAACTTATTCAGCCTCACTTCAAACAAAAAAGGGCCCACCTCCACCTAGAACCCATCTTAGTACATCTAATGTGCATAGATAGGGATGTACGATATTGGATTTTTGGCCGATATCTGATATGCCGATATGTTAAAACTTATTTGGCCGATAACCGAAACCCATACAGATATTTTTCCCCTAGACCTACTTACAGAGACTACAAAGCTTTCCATCCATCCATCCATTATCTTCCGCTTATTCAGAAGTCGGGTCGCGGGGGCAGCAGCTTGAGCGGGGAGGCCCAGACATCTCTTTCCACAGCCACCTCTTCCAGCTCTTCTGGGAGGACTCCAAGGCGTTCCCAGGACAACCGAGAGACATGGTCTCTCCAGCGTGTCATGGGTCTTCCCCGAGGTCTCCTCCCAGTTAGACATGCCCGAAGCACCTCTTTAGGGAGGTGCCATGGGGCATCCTTACCAGATGCCCGAACCACCTCAACTGGCTCCTCTCGATGTGGAGGACTATCAGTTCTACTCCGAGTCTCTCCCGAATAACTGAACTTCTCACCCTGTCTCTAAGGGAGAGTCCAGCTACCCTGCGGAGAAAACTCATTTCAACCGCCTGTATCCGCGATCTCATTCTTTCAGTCACTGAGGGTAGGAACGTAGACCAACCGGTAAACAGAGAGCTTTGCCTTACAGCTCAGCTCTCTCTTCACCACAACGGACCGGTACAGAGTCCGCAATACTGCAGATGCTCCAATCCGTCCGTCAATCTCACGCTCCGTTCTTCCCTCACTTGTGAACAAAACCCTGAGATACTTGAACTCCTCCACTTGAGGCAGAACCTTATGTATATACCGTTTCGGTTATTTTTTTAATTAAATACAATTTATTAACGAGAGATTATGCGCCGCGGAACTAAAGTTCCTACGCGTGTTTCAGCACGGCGCTATTATCTTGCAGCACGCGCAGCATTAGCATTAGCTTCTCGTTGCGGTCTCCTGTTGGGGAACATTATGGCTTTCTTGTTAAAAGACAACTCCAAAGCTGTGCGTCAACGTTGTTTCACGGAGATTGGATCTGCAGCAGCAACACGTCTAACTCATTAACGCACTTGAAACGACATCGTCCGAGCGTGAACGTCTCTTCTAGCAGCTTGGTTGGTACAAACACCGATAGCAGCAGCATTTAAACAACCTTTATCAGGTCGTTCAGATCGGTCCAGAGCAATAACACAAGCTGTAGGAGTTGTTAAAGCTCTGGACCTACGTTTCTGTTGTTGATGCGCCGGCTTTAAAGTTATTGAGCGCCGCTACGACGTCAAGTCACGTCAACACTTCAGCCAAAAAGTTGTAGCAGCACTTGATGAAAAAAGATAAAACTGATATTGTCAACAAGCCATGGACCAGATTAAAGCCCTGATGAGCGAGAGACTCAGCCACATCTTAACAGAAATGATGGCTGTTCAAGAAGAGGTATTGTTATTTTATTATTATTATATTTAAAATTATAATCTTATTAACTCATTTTTTTTAAACCTCTGTTTTATTTCCAGTCTGGGACAGAGAGAACAGCTGAGTCTTCTTCCTCTTCAGGGAAATCCACCAGGGATCACCTCCAGCTAAGAAGTCTGTGACTGAACTCTGAACGTTTCCAGGGACCTGTCCCACCTGTGGCAGCAGGTCCAAGAGGTTGTGAGTAATGAGGCCAAATACAGCCACACTGCAGAATTAGCAAAGCTCTGCCTCTTTATTCCTGCCACCTGTTGCTAGTGAGCGGTTTTCTCCACCGCTGGAAATATTCACTGAAACTAGATCTGAGATTTTGGCAGAAAATGTGGACAAGTTGGTCTTTTTGGCCAAAAACTTAAAACTTGACTAGTTAGATTGTAAACAGTCTGTTATCATTTTTACCTCTCAAGGCTCTTGTTCTATCATGATAATTTGCCATCTTAGTTTGGTAGATGTGAACTTCGGTTGACGCAAGTTCACAGAAAAATGGCTTCTCTCCCGCCTTTTCATAAGCAAACCCTGAAAACGAAGCAGATTTCACATGCTAATGGCTCAGAGTGACTAATACCTCCTTCGAGTGGCTTTCTGTTTGACACAATGGTCTGACGTTGTCCGTTTTATAACGGATGATGACTATAGCCATGGCTCATGTGCGAATCAAAAAAATAAATAAATCACACGGTGCCACAGACCTGACAAAGAGAACATTTTATTTGGTTTTAACCAAAGCAGACAAAGTCCAGAATTAGTGTCCGACATGCGTAAACAAAGATGAAGCGCTGAACAACGTCAAGCAAAACATCGCTTGTGGACAGCACACTCTTCACAGTTTCCCCATGAAGGCATCGGTCTTAATCGTTTTATTGCTGCGTTTTACTTCATAGACAAAGAGGCCTCTGCAGAAACGGAGGAAGTCTGGTCCGGCAGTTAATTATTTGGCGGACTGGAGAGAAAAATCAATGGAGTGCTGTAACGATAGCTTTCAGTATAAACAAATGCAGCAGACAGTAATTATTGTCTCAGTCAGCAGCGAGACCAGACTCCCCTGCCAACGGGTCAGTTCACACCCAGAGACCCATCGTTTCCCCACAGGAAATGGTGAGAAAGAACACCAGCAAATCTTCTCAAAGCACTCTGGTGAGCCATCACCAACGGATGCTTGGTGCCTCGAGGTCTCACACACGGGTCCTGTTCCTTGTGGCATCGAAAACTGGAATCTCCCTTCAAACTGGATCTCAAAGTCGAGGTCTCCTTAATTCATTAGCTTTACTTCTTTTTTACCCGTAAAATAAAAATGGAGGTACAGTGCTAGCCTTGACTCATCAGGAAGAACCGAAACACCGCACCGCTGTTCTGACAATAAACCAGGCCCAGAGGAGTCGGAACCACTAAGCAGAGACGCATGGCCATGACCTGCATGGACACAAGTTTTACCAGTTACAAGTTCGACTTTCGCGGACTCACTCCTTCTTGGTTTTTCAAAGTAAGATTGGACAGGACACACAATTGGCTGATTGATGGATGAGCCGCAAGATTGGCATGGATTTAAAAAAAAAAAATTGATATCATTAGCACCTGTGTGCAGCCCACATGTGCCCCACAGTGGAGAGGTGGGCGTGGCCAGGAGCGCTGGCAGAGAGCAGAGACCATGACATGCTGTGCTCTTTTAGAGCGTTTAGAAACATTGTTTAGAACTAGGCCTGTCAAGATAAATGGGCGATTAATTGTCTCAGAAAATATTGCGATAAACGATAATATTGTTGGAAATTTGACAATAATTGAGTATTGTCAAATTTAAGAAGAAATGTTGGTCAATTTGTGTGTAGTAGTACCTTTTTTGACCACTGGATGGCAGTATAAGACTGAACCGAAGGATGGATAGTGAGGGAGCGTGCAGCGTCTCTAAGAAAAATGGGAGGGCGGCCCCTTGACGTGACATGGGCTGTCTGTCGTTTCTATTTTTCGGTTCTCAAAACGACGGACGCTCGGTGTGCTTTGAGCTCTTCTGCATGGTATTTGAAAATCAGTAAACAATTTCTCAGCTTCTTCACAAGTCTCAACCGTGAATTTTGGAGCTTCGACAAGACGACGGTTGCTTCCCGAGGTCGGCCTGTTAGCTTAGCTCGTAGCTTAGCTTCTCTGCTTAGCTGCTTTTAACAATGCTAAAACGTGATTTTGAACGGTTAAAACAGATTTTAAAGGGAGGGGTCAGTGAAGAGCGCCGGGGTTGAGCTTTTTGTCATCCAGTGTCTTCAGTAGAAAGAGAGAGACGCGAAGAAACGATGAAGCCGGTAAATGAAAATGAGGTTGACAATTTTCATCTATCATGCGATTAATTGATTTATTGTTTATCGCAACAGGTCTAATTAGTATGCAGTACTACTACAGTATGTGATTCTGAACATCTCCAAGTTTTCTCCCTAAAAGTAACACTTCCTACCTTACAAATGAAAGGTAGGAAGGCTCCAAAAGACTTTTTTTTGTTAAAAATAAATAAATAGAAAAGCATCCTTGTTCTGAATAATGTATTGACAAAGGAGGTTAAAGTACCAACATGTGTCTGCCTCAGGTTGGCGTATGCGGTCATGGCCAAAGCATTTCTTTCACAGATAGATTTACACAAATTGGCCAAATTCATTGCCTGACCAGTCACCCAGTTCACATCCTTTAACAGATTCAACAAACTATGTCAAAACGTACGTAGACCAATGAGCAAGCTCTTTAAAGTCCGAATGTCTGGAAATAAAACGTCTTAGCTTGAATTAAATATCAAAGCCACATTGAAGAGTTGAC